ACGGGAAATCGCTATTAAAACTCTGAATGAAAGCAAATACAAAACGTCTCGCAAATGAGGTTATATGAAGTTGCGAATTAAGAATACAATTATACATTAGTATGATGCGAAATGACTTTGTAGTTAAAAAAAATAAACAAATTCACTAACTTGTCTTACAAGGAACGATAGATAGAATATATTTTAAATGGCATAGACAGAAAGAAAAATGTAAAGAGTAAAGGCTTTCTTTAATGAGATTCCCTTCATTTTAATCAACTATTTGGTGATATGAGATGTATTCACCCTATTTCGTCTAAGGTGATGAAGGACTGGTAGTAGAATTTTCCCACAATGATATCGAGATGTATTCACCCTATTTCGTCTAAGGTGATGAAAGACTGGTAGTAGAATTTTCCCACAATGATATGATATTTTATGGTAGTTGAGATCAATTCTTGGTATACATATATCCCATTAGCTTTAAATCACATCATGATTACCAAAAACGGAATAACAAAAAGAATTTCTGCAAATATATGGCTCCAGAGGATCTTGTCTGACACCTTGATCTAAGGGAAAATTGAATCTATGGAATACGGTCTGCATCCATAAGACTAATATTAATATTAATTGAAAATACCAAAAACGAACTATAATAGACAAAATATGTTTGCTGGTGTCTGCTTTGTTAGAATTAATCTGTATTCATCATAATTAGGATCATAAAGATGATATTGACAACGATAGAAATATTAAATAATTATGAGCTATGGTTATGAAATGCAAGCTAACCACCATAAGAAAAGGATACATATCAATGCCTCAAGTGCTCCGAGCTGTCCGATGTCATTACACAGTTGAGAATCTGCTTGATTTTGGGGCATGGAAGGATTCGTGTAATTTTGAACGTTCATATCATCCTGTTTGTTAATTCTGCTGGTAATAAAGTTAGTCTCATCAGATTTGACGGAGTCCTGATTTATCATTTGCATCTGTATTGGCATCTCATGCTTATCGGCCATAACTGGCAGGAATGAGTCTTTCATCATATTAGATGCCAAAGTTTTAATGTCCACATCTTGTAAATTGCTTTCTGTCGGAGATTTATCCTGCAACACAACTTTGGGCAAGTCCTCTTTGTCGATCGCCTGCTGCTTTTCCATTTCGACTTTTCCATTGCTACTGAAGGCATCATTTTGTGAAAGCGAAAGAAGATGGGCAAAGTTTGGATCGTTCGGCTGTGTTATGCGAGCTAGCAACAGAGTGAGGGCGTAATTTAGAATATCACTTGGTCGAAGGAGAGCAGCATAGGCAAGCAAGCGGGCCGCCAAATAGCGAAGGCGAGAAAGCCAAGGCAAACGGAGGCAAATAAGACATATACGGACAAGGTCATTAGGTTTAAGATATTCCGATGAGTCATGACTTGATAAAGGAGAATGGCAAAATTGTGTTTGGGTGGGCGGACTTGAAGAATATTTTTTTGAGTTTACTAATATAGCAGGAACAGGTAACGAAGAAAAGGGTAATGATGAGAAAAGGAGTGATTGTGGGTTTTTAGCAAAAGAAAACAAGGAAAAAAGACATATCGTAAGAAGAGATATTGCAGTGGAGACCTCCTTGTCGTAGGAAATACAGGATGAGGCAGATGGAACGCCATCTATTGTAGAAGCTAAAAGTTTTACTGAGGGGTATAATGCAAAAAAATATGAGAAAGACGAATAAGATAAGTGATAAAAGGAAGTTTAGAAGATAAAATTTTGTCCGACAAAAGTACAATAAATTAAGCATAGCGATACAAAATAATGTCTTCGCTATTAGGAATGCGAAACAAATTTGGTTGAGCATTGT